AGAGAAACATTGATCAGCTGCCTCCTGCACACTCCCTACTGGGGATGTGCCCGCAACCAAGGTACATGCCCTTGACTGGAATCGAACCTGGGACCCTTCAGTCCGCAGGCTGATGCTCTATCCACTGAGCCAAACCGGTCAGGGCTGATTAGTACTGTTTTGAATGCAAATATTTCTAGGTGCATCACAGATAATGATTTTTTGAGTTTTGTTAATATAAGTTCAAGGAAAAGTGGAGTGAAATAAAAAGTCTATCAGAATTCTACACTATATAAAAGACACTTTCAAATAGAATGTAGATTAGAATGTAGCTTTTTATCTCAAGTGATATGATTTTTCACACCTTTATAAGGTACATACCTTCATTACGTAGAGTAATAGAAGTTAGGAGGCTGATTAATAAAATTTGGATAATTATCTTTTTAAAAAATATGTTTATTGATTTCAGAGAGGAAGGAAGAGGGAGAGAGAGAGAGAAAAGCATCAATGATGAGAGAGAATCATTGATTGGCTGCCTCCCGCATGCCCCCCATTGGGGATTGAGTCCACAACCCAGGCAGGTCAATGCTGAGCCGCACCAGCTGGGCCCCATAGACCTTTAGAGAGAGTGAGAGGGAGGGAGGGGAGAGACAGACACTGAGAAACGTCCATGTGAGAGACACACATTGGTTGGGTGCTTCCCAACCCGGGCGGAGCCTGCAGCCGAGGTCCGTGCCCTTGACCGGAATCGAACCTGGGACCTTTCAGTCCGAAGGCGACTTCCAGGCACGACGGGCAATCAGGGGGTGGCAGGGTGGGAGGGAGGGGCAGTTAGGGGCGACCAGGCTGGCAGGGGAGGGCAGTTAGAGGCGACCAGGCCAACAGGTGAGGGCAGTTAGGGGCGACCAAGCTGGCAAAGGAGGGGTGACTGGGCCAACAGGGAGGACAGTTGGGGGTAACCAGGCCTGCAGGGGAGGATAGTTAGGGGTGACCAGGCCGGCAGGGGAGGGAAGTTAGGGCCAATTGGGCCGGCAGGGGAGCAGTTAGGCGTTGATCAGCTGGCAGGGGAGTGGTTATGGGGTGATCAGGCTGGCAGGAAAAGCAGTTAGGGGCAATCAGGCAGACAGGCGAGCAGTTCGGAGTCAGCAGTCCTGGATTGTGAGAGGGATGTCCGACTGCCCGTTTAGACTTGATCCCACCAGGATTGGGCCTAAACAGGCAGTTGGACATCCCTCAAGGGTTCCCAGATTGGAGAGGGTGCAGGCTGGGCTGAGGGACCCCCCGACCCCCCGCACAAATTTCGTGCACCAGGCCTCTAGTTACCTTTTGCTTAAGTTAAGTGCACATTTTCTAGCCTTTGGTTACCCCATAGACTTGTCCACATAGTCTTTGTGAGGAAGAAGAAAAAAATTTTAAGAATAGAATATAAAATTTTTAAAGAATGCATTGAAGTTCTGCCCCAACTGGTTTTGCTCAGTGGATAGAGCATCGGCCTGCAAACTGAAGGGTCCCAGGTTCCATTCTTGTCAAGGACATGTGCCTCGGTTGCAGGCTTCTCCCTGTCCCGGGTCCTGCTCAGGGTGCGTGCAAGAGGCAACCAATTGATGTGTTTCTCTCACATCAGTGTTTCTCTCTGTCTTTCCCTCTTTCTTCCACTCTCTCTAAAAATCAATGGAAAAATATCCTTGGATGAGGATTTTAAAAAATCTAAATTTATACAAAAAATCCATGATGAACAAAATTTTAATTTAATAAAGGCAAGTCCCACAGCATATCAGAACCTGAAACAAAAAATATGCACCTAATTAAAATAAAAAAGAATGCAGTGAAGTTGAACTCGGCTTCAACATTTACTCAAAATCTGTTATTTAGCTTCAGCCCTTGCAATGCTGAATAGTTGAATGCCTCCTTAAAAATATTTGTGCATTTATCGCATATTTGATAGACTGACATGTTTCTTAGTCATTTCCAAAATTTTAACATTTATCTTGTACTTGATGCTTTGCTATTATAAGTACTACTGAATTGAATCTCTTTTTTTAGTTTATTACTTTTTTTACCATGATAATTTCTAAAATGAAAATTACTGAGAAATCAAAGAATATGAACATTTTTAGAATCTTTAATTATATTTTCAAATTCCTTTTTGGAACTGTAATCATTTTGTATTTTCACCAGCAATATATGAGAGAGGATCCATTTTTCAACTCCTTGCTAATATATGTTATTTTAAAATCTTTGCTAATTTGATAAAAGAAAATGGTATGTTCTAATTAGCATGTCTATGATTGCTAGGAAGTCAGATTTATTTTCCCAAATGTTTATTAGCCTTTCCCTTTTTCTCTTTCATTCTTGTTCTCTTTATGGGCTATTCTAGAGTCTTAATACTTTTTGATGACCTTTTTATCTTCTAAGGCTAATAAGCTGCCATATATATATACACACACACACACACACCTATATACATATATCTACATATGTACATAAGGATATACAAATATTGATACACGTGTATCTATATATGTATATATATTACATCAAATTCCATTTCCAGTCCTTTAAGTTTTATTAATTTTTAATATGCTAAAATGTGAAAGTAAATAGTCATTTACATTTATTATTTTCCCTTGTGATTTTTCCCCATGGCTTTTAAGTTTAGGAAGTTCTCTACTAAAAAATCAGACTAAAAAAAATAAATTAGATAAATATTTTTCCCCTGTGGTTTTTAAGGGTTTGATATGAAGTATAGCAATTATGATAATAATTATTTTGCACTTAAATGTTTAATCTATTTGGAATTTATGTTTTCAGGTTATTTTATAAAGATTTAAATTTGTTGTGTTGTTCTCTAAATAGCAAACCAATTATTCCAATACCAGTTGTTGAGTAATCCTTTTTATTTAATTCCTAATGTAGTAATTTCTACTTTTTATGAAGTATGTGTCAGGCTAGTTCTGTTATTTCCTAACTAAAATGATACAGTTTAAATTATGTATAACCGTGTACAATTGTAATGTAACCTAGGTTTCTGTGCTGCTTTACAGACTGAATGTAGACACTGACACTCTAAGAAAGAGACCAAAAATCAATTCGTCATCCCAAGAACCTATTAAACTTCAAGAAGCATCATATTCAAATGATAATCAAATTATTTCACAAAGTCCTTCTTCAAATGGAACTAAAAACGATATAAGTAAATGTGTAGATTTTAAAGATAAAGACATTAAATTGATAAATGTTAGGAGTAACCTTGACCATGGAGTTAAAAACCTTAGCATTCCTAAAATTGCCAAAGATGTGAAACCTAAAGCTGAAGGCCAGGCAAATGAAAAACTACGGCCTCATTTACTTGCTCACAGGCAGAAGATGAAAGATCTCAAGAAAGAAAGGCACAATAAATACAGAGACAGTTTTGAAAGGTGTGTTTTGGAAAAGTGCAAGAGAATCCAATTTTCTCAGGATTATAATTCCAACAAGATATTTAAGGAACCCCAAGATCCTAGAAGAAGGAAGGTCAGTTTCAAAATCCCAGTAAAATCCCACGATACCCACCAGAAGCCTGTAGAAGAAAACATTTTCCTTTTAGAGTCCAGCAAGTCAACGACTAAGCAGAAGAAAAAAGGATGCCTCGAAAACTTTCAGGTTTCATTAAATTTGATGAAGCAAAAAAGTAAACATTTATTTTCAGATTTCACTTGTAAGCAGGCTGTTTGTGAGTGGAAAGGAAAATGTCATCTTGAGCATCAAGAAAGTAATGATTCAAGTTCTAGTGAACACCAGACCCAGGTAAGGTACTACAGAATAGAGAATGTAGGTTTTAGCAAAGAGTAATATTGTTCCCATTACTAATAATGATCATAGAGGACTGGTTCAAGTTTAGTCAGGAAGATATGTGCTGATTCCTGTATTTGACCCCTTTAATTCCACGTCTTTAGGAAGATATCCTGGCAAATATCAAAGATCCATAATAGAAGGGAATGCGTAAAAATGTAGAAACATGCAATTACAGATAGTCCTTTTAAAAAAGCACTATTACCCTTTACGTTTTGGCTCAGTGGATAGAGCACCAGCCTGCAGACCAAAGTTTCCCAGGTTCGATTCTGGCCAAGGGCATATGCCCAGGTTGCAGGCTTGATCCCCCCAGTACCTGGCGTGCAGGAGGCAGCCAATCAATGATTCCCTTTAATCATTGATTCTTCTATCTCCCTTCCTCTCTGAAATCAATAAATAATAATAGTAAAAAGCACTATGGCCCTGGCCAAATGGCTCAGTCAGTTGGAGTGTCGGACTGTACACCAAAAGGTTGGGGGTTTGATTCCCAGTCAGCACATACCAAGGTTTGGGTTCGATCCCCAAGTTGGGTGCATTTAGGAGGCAACCAATCGATGTTTCTCTCTTTATATATACCCCTTCCTCTCTCTAAACTCAATTAAAAAAACATATCCTCTGGTAAGGATTAAGAAAAAACAAAAACGCTGTGGAATCTCTTACACTCGTCTCAATAAAAAAAACATATCCTCTGGTGAGGATTAAGAAAAAACAAAAACACTGGCAATCTCTTACACTCTTCTGAACCCCAGGTACTATAGAACGCCCAGAAAGATAATATTAAGTTGTAGAGGAGACATTTTTGCATGAATTACTTTCTAGTTATTGGAATTAAAGTTCTTTATAAACTGTTCCTTTGATTGCAGCTTTATCTGACTTAAAGTCATTTAGACATAGAAGCAGTAAGTAAACATTGTTCTTATCTTGAAAATACTGTCTTCAGCATGTGGTTGACATTAGAGAATCATCTTAGTATTATGTTGTTTTGTTTTCCTAAGTCTGTGAGGTAGAAACTCATCATGGTTATCTGACCCCAATGTCAATGTTGCCAAGGTTAGACAATCCCACTGTAGGTCTATGCTTCATTCTAAACTAATAAAATTACTTTTCATTTCAGAGTTTTGAAGCACAATGTTCTTCAGTGTCATATGAAAGTATTCCAGATACAGATCAAGAGGTTAATAATATACTTATCTACTTCTAATGTTTTTAATGAAATTAAGTCAAACAGTTTCTATTTTAATAAAAAATAATGACTTTATATGAAGTATATACGGGTAATATGAAAATAACCCCTAAATCAGTATGTAAGTTCTTATGAAGTCATGAATAACTTTTTGGAAAAGTGTTTACATTTTCTTAATCACCTTTTTGCTTTTGTTTCTAATTAACTTGAATCTGTTTTTGAATAAAGAGCATAGAGCCCATTGCCCACAAGTTACATAAATTTTGATTTAATTATATCAGGCTTTTGCATGCTTTATGCCTGGATTTGCCAAAATGCAGTTTGATGCTAACATTTTTTTTACCATTTTTAAAAAATCTGAAATAAGATGAAACTGTTATTCAGTGAAAGCAAGAGTACAGTCATATTTATTATTTTTACCTCCTGCATCATTTTCCCAGCTAGAATCTCCTGATTGAACATCATATAATTATTACATATTTTGTGTTCCCTAGTCCTGAATTGAAATTAGATTTATAGAACAATGTATTTTCCTATTTTTAAGAAGACTTTAAAACCCATATTGATTGTGATGGGTTTTTATTTATGACAGTCAGTTGTATTTTTCTGTCTTGTGGGCAAGTAACCCTTGATTTTCCCCTTTGCTCTAAAGCTATATTTAGATTTTAGTTTTTCTTAGAAATCTCAAGCAGAGCACTCATCATCTAGATATAAATACATTTGTCTCCTAAAATACTTAATAGTAAGAATGGGGATGAGAATAACTTAATGTGAGGGTCTACTATGTACTAGGCTCTGTGGGAGGAACTTCGTAGCATTTTATTTAATCCTCCCCAAAATAGTAAAAAGCAATAGATATTTAACATTCCTATTTTGTAGATGAACAAACTGGGACCCAAGGTGGTTAAATACTTTGCTTGCATAAGGTTACCGCAATATTAAGAGAAGAGCTTTTTAAAAACCCTGTATATGTTTAAAAGTCTGTATTCTTTTACCATGCTACACCTATATTTTTGTCAATGTTTTTCTTCCCATAAACCATCTCATCTTAAGTGAATTAATTAAGAATTCATTGCTTTCTAATTAATCTGCAGAGTAAATAATTGAAAATATTTTACTGCGGGTCTTTTACAATTTAGATGCAGATAGTAGAAGAGCTTCATGCTGCACGTGTGGGGAAAACTGTGGATTTGCCTGTGGTCCCTCCTCCTGGAGAGTTATCGAGCATGGAGATTGACTTGGTAGAAGATGCTGTGCATTCCTCTGCTGGTATATCCAATATCCATATGATGACCATATTTATAGTCTCCTGGGCTTTTTTAAGAATGAATATGCCAACATTCAATTTTGATAATATTTGGATGAAAAATGTTAAAATGTGCTCATTTGAAATTATAAAGAACGGTGTATTTCTTTTAGCTATAGGAATAGGTCTAATATTTGTCTTATCATTATTTGTTTTTATATTTCTCACATTATTAGGCAGATATATCTTCTGTTTCTCTTTTTGCCAAGGGGCAGTAATTAGAGTCAAGTTGTTTTTTTATTTCTGCTACTAATCATAACTTTTAACAACTAAGTAAAAGCACTGATCAGAAATAATGCAAATTGCTTGAAGTTATTATATGCCTGGATTTCTTATTTATATAGTAAAGTTTTGATCATTCTTACTAGTGGGAGAAGATAATGATAGATATTATTCAAAATCTATTAGTATGCTATTTTGAATTGTATATAAAAATAGTAATGATATATCACATTAACATTGAATTTTTCAGTTTATTGTTTTCATGTATATTAACCTGATTCTCTCACAATGGCCCTATAAATTTATCCATAAGCAATTCATAATATTCTACTGGTAGATTATTAATTATTACTGTTCCTTCTCTTAAAAATTGGAATAAATATATTTTTGTTTTTGTTGTCTGAAGGACTGCCTCTCTTAATGCTATCAAAGTTCTATGATATCAAAATTTTAGTTTTTAAAGAAGTCTATTTTAAGTGTCATGAAATCCTAACTTGTATTTTTCTCTAGCAAGTACTGCTTCAGACAAACATCTTCTAATTGTTATTGATACAAATATTCTGATGAATCATCTCAAATTTGTTAGAATTTTGAAGACAACAGAAATCCCAGGTATTTATGAAACATATTTACTGATTCTGACCTTATTTGAGTTGATATTTTATGTTAACAGTAATATGGGTATTTCTCCTTCCCCTAGCACATTTCCTTTTGGATATACTATTAAGCATATATTTAATGCATAATCAGTTTAAGTTTTAAAAAAAAAGAGGTCCTTCGAAGGTTACCTAGCTATGGACTCTTCTTTAATTTCCAATAGTATTTACTTTTGTAACATTCTGTTGACACAACAGTTTTTTATTTCCATTTTTCATATATGTGTGATTTAGTAACTCTAAATATTTCTTGACTTCTAAGACATCTTTTTTATTTTTTTAGGCTTTGACAGGCTTGTGTTAATAATTCCCTGGGTAGTTGTACAAGAGCTAGATCGTATGAAGGCAGGAAAACTACTGAAATATGCCCAGCACAAAGCTATACCTGCGGTTCGTTTCATCAATGACAGTCTCAAAAGTCAAGATAGAAAACTATGGGGTCAATCAATACAACTTGCATCTCAAAAACTTTGTAGGTATTGTTCTCTCGTGTACTTCCTGATTAAGATTTGTTGGGCTTGATTCATTATTGGAGGGAAATGGTGCAAAACTTTTAACAAATGTATAACCATTGCCATGTAAAATGGCAGGACATAGTGATGGGTTGGGGTATTCTATTAGGCTTGGTTTGGGGATCTTTGATTTTTAATTTTATGCTTCTCCTAGACCTTCTTAGGTTATGTCTATATTTCACAGATAGAGACGTATGGTTCTGTGTGCATAGTTGTATATAATATATTACTTTGGATTCTTTTTAAAAAAATACTATTATTGCCTTGGCCGAGTAACTCAGTTGATTAGAGTGTTGTCCCGATAATGCCACGATTGTGGGTTTGATCCCTGGTCAGGGCACATACAATAATCAACCAATGAATGCACAGCATAAATAAGTGGAAAACAAAAATTGATGTTTCTCTCTAAAATCAATTAAAAATAAAATTTAAAGTTAAAAATACAAAAATATAATAAGAACAATACCATTATAGAGTGATGAGAGCTATAAGTGATCTAAGTTGCTAATCCATCACTACATGCAGTCAATACAGTGCAGAGGCAGGCATTGTCTCCTCTAGTTTGTCAGAATCTGTAATAGGGAGGTGTCTTTATAATAAAGATCTGTAGGTTTTCTCTTGATTTGATTTATTTCCATATTAGTTTAATTCATTTTTAAATCATTCTAGCCTTAGAACCTTTATGTTTTATAGAACTTTTTTTTTTGCAGGTGGAGAGGAATGTGTGTGTAAAGAACACTGTTGCCTCTGCAGAGTTTATACATCCATTTACAAGATTTATTTAATTCTTAAAAATTTGTTTCTTCCCAACTCAGAATTATTTATATATTAAGATTTACATTATTATAAATATCATGGTCTTATATTGTCTACCATACCTGTATTTACCACAAGATATGAAAGAATTCATTCTAATATGAATATAATTATGGTATTAATGCTGACAGGGCTTTTGGCACAGCTGTTTATTCTTAGGTGTTTGAAGAAAAGGGGCCTCCACCATTCATTTATTCATTCCATTTATAAATATTTATTAGTATATTCCAACTACAATACTTATGTACTTTCAATAGGAACTTCATATGATTTGTTTAAGAGCCTTCAAAGGAAAATCTCCAGTAAGTATCACTTATTAGAGTTAAAAAAATATTAAAATGTTTGAATACATTAAATTGAACACCTTAGATGGTCTTTTTCTTCTTTTTATTATGCAAAATTTCAAATGCAGAAATAGAGAAAATAATATAATGAATCCCTTTGTACTTATCACTCATTTTCAGTAATTATCAGCATTTGCCATTCTTGTTTATTCTCTCACTTCCTTTTTCTTTTCTCCCCTAATTCCTGGAACTTCTGTAATAGTTTGAGGTTAATCCCAAATATCATATCATATTATTTTTATCCATAAATACTTAGGTATGTGTTGCTAACAGAAAAGATTCTTTTTTAAACAACCACACAATTAACAAAATTAACCCCTTATGTAATCCATAATTTCAGTAAAGTCCCAGTCCTTAATAAGAGAAAGGAATTTTGCTTACTCAATCTTTTTTTTAGTTTGTTGATACAAATGACATTTGATTATATAATAATATAGATAATTATGTTCATTATTTTCCAGACCCTTTTCCAAAAGCTTTACACCTAAATCTCATTCAAACCTTATAGTACCATGGAAGATAGTCATATTGGCCCCATTTTACTGATGAGGAAATGAGACACAGAGAGATTAAGCACTTGTTCTAGATAGAAATTTCTTCAATAGATTAGCTTTGATAATTAGTTTAGAAGAGTTCATTTGAGAATAGATATTTTGGCCACACTTACTATTTTTAGGTTCTTACTACGTTTCTTTTGACTTTTCCATTTTCATGTGCTTTTTTGATGCTTTGACCTCTTCAGCCCGTGCTTTTTGATGGTTAAGGAGGACAAATCATAGTAGCTGTCTTACACTTCTGTGTTGTTTCAGTTTCTGGATGTCTTCCTTGAACTCCATGTTTCACTTTAATGTTTGAGTCTTATTTGGCCTTAGTTTTGTTAAGTTGCTTTTAGTTATGAAGTTGTAGATATAATAATAGATTATTTGTGTAATTGTCTATGTCAGATAATATATAAAGTACTTAATGGTTTATGGCCTCATGTAGGTGATAATTCTTGTATCCTCATATGAAAAGCTTATACAGATTGATTAGAAAAACTAAATATGCTTTTCCCCAAGTGAATGAAGATTAGTAATAGGTAATTCACAAAAGAAAGAAATACAATTAGTCAGCCCTTTGTTCATTGCATATATCTTCCTGTCTGTTGGCTATTTTGAATGTTGTTAATTTCTTTAACATTTTTTAAAATTTCTTTTTATTGCTTCTAAATTTAGAAAGTTACTTTCCTCCAACACCTGCTAGGAACACTTACATTGCTTTAGTGCTTTGGGAATTATGAATTAGTAACTTTTCAGGAGAGCATTTATCTGTGTATATCAAGAAGCCTAAAATGTAATTCTCTTTCTAGAATCCTAAAGAAATAATCAAAGATGCTCACAGTGACTTATATAAAAATGTTCATCACAGCATCATTTATACAGCAAAAAATTTGAAACAACCTGACTGTCTAACAATTGAAGCTACATTTAATTCTATACTATATGAAAGAATACTATATTTTGAAAAATGTTAATGACATAAAATTAAAACTTGTTGAATAAATATTTCATGAATATTCTTGTGGTTTTAGGTGTGTTTTCCAGCCCCAGGTATTTTAGAAAAAGTGATAGAATAGATATTCTTGAACTTTGATACCTTTAGAACAGTACATTATAACTTTTAAACCTTCTTTTGTCTGTTGGATTCAGTGACTTAAACTTATCTAATGATTTTGAGCTGCCAACTTTGCATTACTGTGTTATTTTCTCTGTGAGCTAAAAGAAGGAAAATTGGCTGCTGTAGTATATGTCTGTCTGCCTCACTGGTTGTCTGATTAAAGAATTGAATTAAATCTCCTTCAGGCTCATGTGCTGAGATCAGCTGAGTTATGTCTAGACTTCACGATAAGATTATGAGCTCCTAAACAGTTTGTCTTTGCATATCCAATTACTTAGCACAGTGACCTGGCACAAATTCAGTCCTGTATAAGTATTTATTGCAGAAATGAATGAGTTTTTTCATTTGAATGTTCTGAGAACTAAGTATCATATGGTAAAGTTTGAGGGAAACAAAACATAATCTGGTGACATTGCTCATTGGCTAGTATGTTTTGAATTTTAGTGTGTAAGGAACTTCCCAAGTGCTTAACTCAGTCTTTGGGTCCAGGCTCCAAAAATTATTATCCAGAAGTGGGTCTGAGAGTATGGTCCTGCTATATCTGTATTATTGGCAGGCACCCTGGGAGTTCTGAGGCAGGTAGGATAAGGACCTAGGAGAAGCACTGTTTTTGGTTCTATTTCTGCACATTCCAATATTTCCATAAAAACCAAGCTTTTACCACCTGTTTTAAAGCTTGGAGAATGCCAGAGGACACCCTGTCATCCTCTGTTAAACACTTGTTAGAGATTATTTTTGTGTTCTCTGCCTTCTCCTGTACATCTCTAAACGTTAATTGCTTTAGAGAACAAGGAAAAGCAGACCCATGAAAGTGGTTCTGTTCTGGTAGAATAGTTGCTTATAATCTTTACAGATCTCTAAGTTGACATCATTTTAAGCATGATATAATCATAATTTACTAATAATCTCTAGTTGACTGAATTGAGATTCGAATTCATAGCTTTTGGTTTCTAACCCTGATCATATTTTTTTTGCGTTTATTTATAGGTATATCCCATTACATTTTAGTAGAAAA